TTTTCTATAAGCTTTTTTTCTAATAAAGTCTTTAATACCATTTTTAATACTATATTCGATTATCATAACAATATGATCATTATACTTAATACATTTATTATATAAAACATTGAATAAAATGATAATAAATTGAAAGAATAATTTATCAATAAAAAAATTAGCTTTAAAGCGGTGTTTATGATAAAGAAATCCATTAACTCTTTATGAATTTTTAAAGATTGTCTTCATTAAGCAGGCAATGGTAAATAAGCATTCTGGCATGATAAAAATAATGAAATATTGATTTAAAATTTAAATATTACGGTTATAAGTAAAATAATTCGTACTCACATTATTTGGCCTTAAATTTCTTGTAAAATCCCTTCTATTTAAATTGTTACTATTTAAATTTCCTGTAAATATTTTAGCAACTACCCATAAAACCATTAGAACTGCTAAAAATATGACATAGTAAACTGAGCCAAACAATTGTAGAATGCATAAAGCTAAAATAAGGTAAGCAAATGAAAAAAAGCTTATAAATTTTTTTGCTTTATCAATGTTAAGAATTGAGAATAAGGTACCAGTAAACAAATATAATTTTAAATAAATGTAATTGAAAAGAACGAAACAGTTATATAAACCTCTAAATAGAGAAAAAAGGTCAATTGTCAAATAAGTTATGCTCAAAGCAAAGCATAAGTTATGAAATAAATCAGATGTGAATTGTTTTCTGGTTTTATTTATTAATATAAATATGATCCCAATTAAGAAATAAAAGCTTGAAAAAATTGCATCTAAAAATGCAAAGGGAGGTGACTGATATAAACCCAGTAATAAAAGAATTGCAAAAAATATATTTATTGCGCATATATCAATATAATCGATTTCATTTTTAAGAGCTATAAATAATCGAGAAATATCCATGATAAATTTAAAATGAAATAATCCATATTATGTATTTAGAATGCTACCAAACTTTTATAAGATTTGGCTGATGTATTAATTCGCTAAATTTCAATCTGTTAGCTTCACCTGATTATTAGTTCAAATTCCTAATATAGAAAGTTGTTTAATTTGTGATCAATACAAGTTGTTAATAAATTAATTGTTTGTTTTGGAAGTAACATGTAAATCATATGTGGTTATTTTGTCGGAAAATGTATGGAACAGTGTGTATACTTACATAAAACAACAATGCATATATTTAAAGTTAAAACAAATACAAAGTTATTGGTCCCTAAGCACACCATGCGAATACTGTACACCATAATAGACTAAAAGTACATACATTATGTTTATACGTAGCATTTTATTGCTAAATTTGTGAAAGTTTGATCAATTTTTCGATAAATATAAAACCAGCATAACATAAACGAAATAGTATAAATAAAATAACATAAATAATATTATTATAAAATATTAATAAAATAATTATTTATTAATTTAGTTCTAGCAAAAGTATTCCGATCATTGAAGTGATATACCAAGATAATTCAATATGTATTCTTACGTATTTTGTCGTTTACTTATAGTTTTGTTTTCTTTTGAGTTTTTTAATGCTCCTATATTTTATAAATTCCTCTTTTTCACAATTATTTTCATAAAAAAACCTATCGAAAATATTAGATCAATGAATATAATAGAATGTCTTCCAATATACTACATTTATATAGCTCTTGACCTTTCTCTTTTATTTTACGCACTATATATTTGGATCTTTTATTTTGAAACAACTTACATAGAGTTTTATGGTCTTGTTAGTATTTTCTTTTCTTTTACTGAAAAAATTGAGCCTACTTCTAAATCACCTTATGGAATTTGTCCGATTTGTAACAATAAAAGTACCATATTATCGAAGAATGGGATCTATGATTACCAGGTGCCCAACATGTAAAATACCTACGAATTTTAAATGCACTGAATGTGAACAAGATATTATGCGTGTTGGTTGGTGTCCATCATGTGAGGGTGCAAACTATAAAGAAAATTTTAACAAGTGGACAAGTGGTGATCGAAAAATTGACAACATTATCCGGCGATCCCAATCAAATCCTATTTTTGCTGATCAAGTATTAGAATGGATTGATTATCAAGAATTTAATGTGCATGAATTAATAGGCGAAGGTGGTTTCGGAAAAGTTTATTCCGCGGAATGGCATAAAGGCCCACGGGATTTATATAATATAGAAATAAATAAATGGGTCCGAAGAGGTCCAACGCAAGTGGCCTTAAAAATCTTAAATGATTCAACTAAAATTGAAGATTTTTTTGTTGAGGTATTTACATTTTTATATTTATATATATATATTTTTTTATTCAATTTTTTTCTAATAAAATTTAATAATTAGCTCGAAGCTATAATGAAAATTAATGCCCCTTTGTTCATCGCAAAAACTTTTGGAATTTCTAAGGATCCTGAACAAAATAAATATGTGATTGTAATGGAGATGTATAGTCTTGGCGATTTAAAAAAATTTTTAAGTAAAAGAAAGAATATGAGATTTTTTGAAAGAGCCGCATTAGTAGGATGGCTTGCTGCTGGTTTACTAAAAATTCATGGAAGTGATCTAATTCACCGTGATTTGCACTCTCGAAATGTTTTAATGAAATATAATGATGATCCGAATTTTCATGGACCTAGAAATCTTGGTTTAATCGCTGATTTTGGATTATGTAAATCAGATGATGGAAAATTTGTCGCAGTAGAGGTGTTAAGCGATATGTTGCTCCTGAGGTTCTTGAAGGATTCCCTTACACTAAAGAATCGGATATCTATAGTTATGGAAAAGTTGTTCAAGACGTCTTTGCAAATAATCCATCAGATTTGATTGATGTATTAATAGCCAATTGTTTAAGTAGAAACCCTTCAAATCGACCTGATATATACAAGGTTTATATTTTCCTTAAAGAGGTGGTAGTATTTTATGAACTAGGGTCAGATTGGTTTTTTGATATATTCTACCGAGAATCTAATGAACTAAAATCAGTGAAACAGGAGTTAAATAAGATTTACCACTATGATTATTCTAATATGAAAGAAAAACTGATTAAAAGCTCTGAGAATTTGATCGCTGCCTTTCCAATACATGAAGGCACACTTCTAATGAGTTGTAGTACCTTGAGCTCTACTCTTAAAGAGGTTGTTAGAGTACCCATCGACAGAATTCAACTCATGCTGGATACGGTTATTGAAAATCTTTCCATATATATATATTGGCGTGAAAGAATTCAAACGTACAAACCACCTGAAGTCAAACCCGAAGTCAAACCCGAAGTCAAACCCAAATCTCCTGAACCACCTGAACCTAAACAAACGCAAACTTTATCAAAATCTATAAATTTCTCATAAATACTGTGATTTTATAGGTATAACCAATTTGGCCCAATTTAGGGTTAGAGTTTGCTTGCTTCATATTAGCGTTGGCTAAAGGTAGATCGTCGACGAATTTTTACCAAAATCATTTTATGAATACTTATTTACTGTTGTCAATTTTAAATTTTGTTTTTTTCTTATATATCTATTTTATATTTTTACATGTATATTTATATAAATCATCGATATTTTTGTACTAATCTAGGAAGCATTTTAGTTTCATTTATAAGCAACTCTTGAACGTATTTCTATATTTGTTTCAGTATAATTTGTTTAAAAAAAATTTTTTATTAGAACAATTTGAGATCTAAATTAAACATTCTTAGACACGTAAAATAATAAATGAATTTCAATATATAACATAATAAGTTTCTAAATTTGCTTCTCCAATAAACTACGCCATAGTGTGATAATCCATATTATGAAATTTAAGAAATATAGGAAATTGAAAGAAATAAAATTCAAATCTATGAGTATTTAATACTTAAACCTGGCTCAGTGTTATATAGGAAATTAAGATAATTCCTTCCATTAATGTTTCCCATCTGGTAACCTTCATTGAAATAATACGATGCTATATTTTCATCACGCTCAACACCTATTCCATTTTTATAGCAATTACCAGTATGAATCATGCCATCAGAATCTCCCATATCAGCTGACCTTTTAAAATGAAGGAATGCGTTATGATCATTTTTTTCAACGCCTATTCCATTCTGATAGCATATACCAACCAAAAACATTCCTATTTCATCTCTCTGTGTGGCTGCTTCCTGAAAATAGTCGAATGCCTTTCTCTCATCTTTTTTAATACCTCTTCCATTTAGATAAAACCGACCAGTCTGAAGCATTCCAGAAACATTCCCCTTGTCAGCTGATTCTTTATAATTAGAGAACGCATCCTGATAATTTCTTTCAGTTCCTATTCCAACGTGGTGACAATGGCCAACTGCATATTTTCCAGCAATGTTTCCCATTTCAGCTGATCGCTTATAATAGTTGAATGCTTCATTTTCATCTATTTCTATTCCTATTCCGTGTTCATAACAAGTGCCAACTTGAAATAATCCTTCACTATCTCCCAAGTCGGCTGCTCCTTTATAATAACGGAATCCTTTTTTATCATTATATTCATCCTTTTCAACTATTATTCCTTTTTGAAGTAAGTCCCCGCAAATCATTTGAATCTTTACACTTCTATTTACTGCAGCAGAAGAAAGGAATGTTATAATTTATTTTATTTTTGCTATAAAACTATTTTGTAGGAAAAAAACTACACACCTAACTTAGCGAAAAGATCATTCGTAATAATATCAACCACGATAATAGAATAGAATTGGCCCATTTCGATAAGAACTTTTGTAATAAAAATGAATATTAAGTCAAATGAATATACGTTAAGTAATTTATTGGAATAAATTTTTTTCATGAATATATATAATCACAGGTAACTTCATATTAATATTTTTAAATTTGTATAACTTGAATTGTGAAATTTTAAATTATGAAAATCGAGGATTAAATTTTATGATATTACGTGAGCACAATAAACTTCTAATTAAGACCAGTTAGCAAATGATGATATTAATCGTTACATGCCAATATGTTTTTTATTTATCAAAACCATGCCACTAACAATAACTAATCATATTCCTTGGTTGAGTGTCACGATATATTATTTGTACGTACTGTACGTACAAAAACATTTCATTTATTTCAAACTTCTATTAGCTTCGAATACTAAAACTACCAACATTAACCAGACAGTCAGAATATGATAGAGGTTCAATGATTAACATATACTAGTTAATTTGTAATTGCTATTTATTTATGGTATTGTTATTTCCACCATGGTTTTTTGTTATTTCCACCATAGTTTTTTGTTATTTCCACAACAGTATTTAAAAAAAAAAATTACTATCCAATCAGATTTCGAGATCAGGTGTAACGTGAAAAAAGCAAAAAATCGCCCATAACTCGAAATCTCGGCTATGAAACTGTCTTCTGCGTACTAATAAAAAGTTTTTCTTGTAAAATTTTGGTATAAGTATAGATCTCTAAACCCAACCTACTAGCAATGCCCTAACCCCAACCTAATAGCAAAATGTTTTTTCCTTAGCGAAATGTTTTTTAATAGGAATGTGCGAAATTTTTTTAACTGGTATTGCTAGTCCCAAATATTTCCACTATGGATTATACATAATTTTCTATTTATAGTATTTAAAATAATATAAATATATAATTATATTAAGTTAGGATTAGTTGAGCTTTTAAGTAAGTTATAGAGAAGATTTTTCTGTGTTTAGATTATCAAAATCGGCCCAATAGATCCTTAGTTATACAAAGAATTATGATCTATAATAGTGTTTTAAGCTGGTTGATGTAGCCATGGCTAAGCTAACTAATACATGATCAACTGGCTAATGTGGTTAAAGGTCATATAATAGTAAATTAATTTGATTGATATTTGTTATTAATAGTATATTTTTTTAAAAAAAAATTTATTAACTAGTTATTAGCTAGCTATTTAGCTAATATTTTGATTAGCTGGCTCAACTAGTCAATTCAAATTATATAGATTAGAACACTAAATTATAATATTTTGTATAATTGACAATTTGTAAATCATTAATAGTTATAGAATATATCCTTAAACTAAGAGTTCTATTACCATTATTTATAAATCAAATAGGTTAATACATTAAATTTTATATATAAATTTTTACTAAAACTTAATTTATTTAAAAAAATATTAAAGACCAAACCCGAACAGCGAGCACTGGATAATAAGAACTTACGACTCAGACTCAACTAGGCATACATTCAAAAGCAAGTATCTTACTATTGTTCGATCGATTACTTTGGGTGTCATGAAGATATTTATTACTTTCGCTTTACTTTTATATACAAATTTTGTCACGTATCCGTTATATCATTATTTAATTATACTATTTGGTTCTTAAATTAATTACATACTTTTCATGCACGACTATTATTTAATTTCTCAAAATTAATATTTTTTAAATTGAATGATTTTCAAAGAAATATCAAATCATTGATCATTGCAAGATGCATTATAAATTTAATTTTATAAAGTTTGCTTTTCATTAATTTATTTATAAGTTTTCTAATTGTTGGTCAAGTTTTACTTTAATGAATATGTTTGTTACTTGGTGTTATAAATTATAGTCATTTTATCTGGATTGTGGTTAGTATGAATTAATTCTAGAGGTCACTTTTACAAAATTACAATACTATAACCTTCTCGATATTTCAATATATTCAATAAAAGAAAATAAATTTTTTTGATAAAACACAGTAAATTATAGGTTATATGTAAATTAAAAATAGTATAGCAAATCTATTCTTAATAATATAAAATTTTAGTATTAATAGATATACTTTGATTCCAATGAAATAAATTATAAGGGTTTAATTTCAACCAGTTTTTCAATATTTTTACAATAGTATCTACATTGCCAGTTGTCTATCAATAAAATTTTGATAACTTTCGTAATTAGAATATTTTCTTTGAGGGTTTGAGCCCTGTAGCTTATTGGTTAAGCTTCCAAACCCCACAGACAAGGTCAACAGTTTGAGTCAGACTGGTGACAAATTATTAATTTACTACTGTAATCTATTAGAGCCAAATCAAATATGAATCTCTGTAGAAGTCTATGTACAAGTACAAAATTAGATTAAAAATTTCCAGAAGAAGATCTAATTATCTCTTAAATTGTAATACAGACAAATTTGCCTGTGTTTATTTTTTAAACTTGAATTTTTTAATAAAATCTTAAATATTAATTTTAGCAATATACTTTCTAAATAAAATATATTTTTAAAAATCTACTTTATTAACTTTGTTAAGAAAATTTTTTAAAATTATTAAAAAACT